GCGTAAAAGGCGGACATCATGTCCGACGTGAATGCTCGCGTACCCCACACACGTTCATCGGTCTGACACCAACACATTATTTGCCGGGGTGCGTTCTGTCCAAAAAAGAGAATTGTTTGCCGTATGCGAGTGGGTTGGCAGTGCTGTGTTATCCCGCTATACACATATATTAAAAACCGTTCCTGTTCAGTTGACTAAGCAGCATTCACTAGCAACCATCACAGCAGACAGAATGATTGTTTTATTAAAAAATCTTTCCATGCCTCTCGGCCATTTTGTGGGGATCAACCTTAAGGAGCAATGCATCCATGATGTTAACAAGAACCAACTTTATACATCTCCATCCCAGCACCTTGGAACGGCAATGGGACCCCGTTCACCCACAGATAATAGCAATAATGTATAATGAGAAGAACATGCTCAATTTAACAATCCAGTGGACATATGTCATCCTCATGGACCTCTCACGGCAACTATGGTGAGGGGATATGAGAAAAAAACTACGCTTGCTCAAGTCGTAAAGAAAAAAGGGATATTCAGTTTGCACCTGTTTTCCGAAGAATCTCTTCTATAAAATATTCAGTAGTCCCCAGAGTATATTATCTAAAGATAAAGGAGTATTTATAGAGCGTTCGAAAGGATCTTTGTTACCTAGTTCACATGTGCCTTGTATGTATGCCAGTTTATAAGTTTATAGTCTGCAGTCTAAATGCAAAAGCTAGACCACTAATCTCGTGTAAGTCGAAGAGACAGGGAGTTGCTCTGGTCTACAGGGGATGTAAGGACGCCGTTCTTTCTTTAGATCAGAAAACAAAGCAACCGCCTTTGTCTGAGTTTATTCAAAATAGACCGCCTGACCGTGTTTCACCAACCGACGAACCGAATTTGGCACATATTACAAGTAGCCCGATATTTGACCGTTGTCGCAATGAACATACATGTCGATTCACCGCTCCCTCTTCCAGGTTCTATTAACCAAATAGCCAAGTCGGCTAACCCCGAGGATGGTTGAAGTATTAAGTGAGTGCCTGCCTACGAGACATTCTTCTTGTTCAGTTGACGAACTAGCGTTCAGGAGAGACCACCACAGCGGAAAGAATTATTCTTTTAGTTAACCCTCTCCCATCGCTCTCGGCCACTTTGTGGTGATCGACTCTAAGGGGCAGCGCGTCCATGACGGTTTACTTTTCGATATCAAAGGAGTCGTCCACGAAGTACTTTTTCCTCGTCGTGGCACAACAGTTAAGCAGCATTACTATCTGTAAGTGTTGAAGCGATTGCGTGAACCCGTGATGTTGAAAAAAAAGAACCTGCATTGTGGCAGTCAGAGGACTTGCTGCTTCACAATGACCACGCGCCTGCCCCCGACAGCATTCAACCCCAACCAGTTTTGGCGAAAAGTGGCATGATAATGGTTTCTTCCCCCGCCCGTACTCGCCTGACCTAACGCTCTGCGACTTTTTCTATTCCCAACGATGAAAAGAATCGAAGGGAGGGTGAATTCAGAACGTAAAAAAGGTTAAGAAAAATGCCCTGAAGGCAATTAATCGTATTAGTTCGGAAAATATAAAAATTTTCGAATAATGAC